AGCCGGCCGGAGCTGAGGGTCCCGTGGACTGCCGTGTTCTCGACAAGGCCACCATCATGTTGGGACGAGACGGCGGGAGCGACAGGGCGCAGGATGAGACACGGCTCGGGGCAGCGAGACCCACTGCTCTCCACGGCCCAGCAGGGCAATCCCACCGCCCATCCCGTTCCTCACCTTCCCGCCGCAGCGTGCAGAGTACATCAGGACGACCCCTGCCCCGCCGGGCCCTTGCCCCACTCACCATGGTTCGGGAGCGCCGGGATAGACGAGCAACGAGTCTGAGGAGCACGGCAACAGCGGCGGCCCTCCCCGGGCTCGGCTTATATAGAGTGAGGGGCTCCCTGCGCTGCGCTCATTGGCGCGGCGGGCGCTCAGCTGCGCTCCATTGGATGACAGGAATGTCAATCACCAACCCGCGTCAACTATTGGCTGGTTTGTAACAAGGGGCGAGAGGGGGCGGGGCTCGGTCTTCCCGCCAACGAAGGTCGCCGCCACCTCCCTCCTCAGGCGCCTCTTCAGGTCGGGATTGCTCCGTCCCCCGGCCGGGTTCGCTCTGTCCCAACGCAGCCGCTGAAGGGGAGGGGGCTCAGCACTGTCCACCCTCCGGGTGTTGGCCAAGAGCTCCGAGCTCAGCCTGGGGAGCCCAGAGGGACGGGGGCCGCTCGAGGCCTCCCACCTACGGGTGTCCTGGGTGAGAGCTCTCCCTGTCCCAGCACTATCCCTATCCCAGGGAAAGTACCAGTGAAACAGCCGGGCAAAGCTGGGCCCAAGACATGGGCACCTCGGGATCGAGCCCCTCATCTGCCTGGGGGGCACCCAGAGGCCCCAGTCCTCCAGGCGGGCTCTGGCTGCTGTCTCTGGGCTGAAAGAGTGGGGTGTGGACAAACCCCCTCTCCCAGGAGGCTGGAAGCAGTTCCACTGCAGTCACCAGGGACAACAGTGCCTGTGCCAAGTGCCACTGCTGGGATAAAGTGTCACAAAATGGAAAGGACTCGAACTAAAGGGCCAGATCTGGAGAGTCACACAGATTCTACTGTATGGATGCTGAAAGCAGGCAGGGAGCACAGAGCCTGTGTGAAACCAAGTCACATAACTTTCTCACACTGGCCTGAGAAAGTGTGGCCTGAGAAATCGTAAGGAGGAATCCAAACAGTCCTTGGAGAAGGACAACAACCCTTGCAGGTGTTGTTTGGATCCTTGTTGTTTACTTGCAAGAAAAAGTCAAGTGGTGTAGTTACTAATTGTCCAATAACAGTGATGTGTTGGTTTAATGACCCATGAGAGTTTTATCTCTCAGACATTCTCAGACCTATCTATAAAAGAAGATAAGGAATAATAAAACATGCTGTCTTGTGACACTCATCTAGAGAGTCTATGTCGTAGTGGTTCACCATTCCTAATATAGTGTGACACTACTGAAATCAGTAGGTCTGGTGTTTAAATGCCCCAGTGTAAGCTGGATATTAAGTGGGAAGCATAAAAACCCTGTGGTATGTTTTAAGAGTTATATTAACAGAAATATTCCTGAGATTGTCAAACTGACTCCCTGGGTAAAAGCAGCTGTTGTATGTGTGAGTCTGATGTTTGATACCTGGAGTTCCATCCATCCTTCAGAGCCTCAGCACCAGCACCACTTTCAGGAAATTCCTTCTGGCAGTGAGTTGAGGCTCTTGCAGCAGGAGGGGGATGTGAAACAATTTTGAATAATAACAAAGTAGGTGATTTTTCCTCTTCTGTGTAGATCTCCAGTCCTACAAGCAGCCTGGATAAAGGTGGTACTTTTGACAGGAGTGTGGTGGAACTGTGCCAGGCTGGATCTGCACATGGAGGGAAGCGATGAACCAACTTACTCTGATCTCCAGGGCAGGGACCTGACACCTGCTGAGGATGCTGCTCCTGCTGTTACCAACCCCACTGTGATCCTTTGAGCCCAAGGCTCAAAACCCTAATGAAACCTGTGTGAGTGTACCCTGAAAGGAGAGGCAAAAGCACCTCAGAAAGCAAGGATCAGAGGATTGAAAGTCAGAGGTGGAAGAAGGGGAAAAATCCACAAATAACATTGATATAATTGTTTTTCCAAAGAATTATGCCAAGTGTAATGTGTGACTGAAAAACAGGTGGGGTATAAGAAAACAGTGTTTAGGGAATTTGGCCATCTCCACACCAGAGTGGGGAGTGATCACACAAATCAGTACCTGTGATGGACACCAAGCAAAAACATACAGGTGTGCAATGGTTTTTTTTGAGATAAATCTTCTCTTTCATATTTTGATCCTCAGCAAGCCCGGAACACAAGAGGTTGTGTTGGCAAGGTTGGGGCTGATCACAGATTGGACTTGATGATCTTTAAGGTCTTTTTCAACCTCAGTGATTCTGTGAAAAGGACATCAAGGCAGCAATACCTCATGCTTGGCACTTGGAGCTGACTGTGCCTCAGTTTCCTTCAGTGTGCCCCCTCAGAGCTGTTGCACTAGCAAAAGTCCCCCAGTCCTACAGAAACTGGTACTGCTTCACACCCAAAAACCATTCCTAGGGGCCTGAAATGTTTTTTAGTTTGACTAAACAGTCGTGTTGAGTCCAAGGGGCGATCAGGGGTTTCTTGAACGCATTCTTTTTTCCTGCTGGAGATCAGTTCTGTGAGCAGAAGTTCTTTTGTTTCCCCAGGATTTTCTTTCCTGGTAATGCTATCGTGGCCCCAGGCACAGATTTTGGCTGCAACCCATGGCTTCAGTGAATATGACACCTTCCAAAAATTCTGGACTAGCTGTGTATCTGTGATACAGTCTCTGTGGCTGCACTATGGGCCTGGGGCTTCTCCAGCAGCTTGGATGAAACTTATTTGAATATACAATTCTGCAGCTCTCACTTTCTGTTCTTCTCAGAAGAATTGGATAAATAATGTGTGCACATTCACTTCCATCACTGAATTCCCAAAAACTCGAGAGCCTTAACCCCGTCCCTGCCTGCTCAAAGTACCTGGGGTGACCTGGGATTTCCATGTGCATTTCCCAGCACTCAGATAGACAAGGGCAGTTTGCTGTCTGCATTTCAGCCAGGCACTGAGGTACTGGCTCCTCCTCATCCCAAACTCACAGGACACCCAGCTGGGTGTGAGGATTGCTGGGGACATGGTGAGAGTGATCAGGGACAACGCTTCACCATGGCTCCATTGCTTCAGAGATCAGGTTCATCTCCTCCTCTCCAAGTGCAAATCCATTCTGTTTCACACATCCATCCTCAGTCCTGTGTACTCACACTGCTTTTAGCTCTGACTCCTTCCAGAAGTGTAGGGCTCCTCTGACTGTATCAGCCAGGAGAGACACTCCCTTCCAAATGCCTCCTTTGTGGAGCCCAAAGAACCCAGCCCAGATGCCTGTCTGGACAATTCCTACACAGGAACATGGCAGATGGGGAAGGGGGCACTGGCAGTGAGTTTGTGAGTTTTCCTGCTCTGGTTTAAGCTGTATCCCATGGCCACCAACCTTACATCAGCCTGGATCAGGGGGCACCTCAGCAGTGTGGGGGCCCTGCTCCTCAGTGACAGGTTTTATTCTCTAGTTCTGAAAGACCCTTTCTGTCAATATATTTGATTTTATTAATTATTTTAAATTTTAGATGGCAGGACCTGGAGCTGGTCCTGTACATCAGCTGGGAGCTGGTGAAGGGATTTGTCATGCTCCAGCAGCAGGAAGGAGCACACTCCAGCAGCCAGTTCCTTAACACGGATTTCACTTTCTTGTAAGGAGAACAGCATAACCCAGGTGAGTGGGGATGGATCCTCTGTCCCATGGCAGCAGGACAGTGCTGTGCCAGCTGCAACTTTTATGGCCACCTGTTCATAGCTCCCTGGATCATTTGCCATCAAAAAGTCTTCCTTAGCTACAGACACAGGTATAGACAGGTACTACATCCTTTGCTTCTATTCTTTCCTCATCCCTTTTCCCAAAATGAGCACCCAGTTTCCACTTGGTCAGGTCAGATGAAACGGTACCAGAAACTTCCATGGCTGGGGTCAGGGCCTGGGCTGAGTGTCAGAGGGAGGGATGGTGTGATATGGCTGAACAGTTATAACCACAGTCCCTTCCCTCCCTTCCCAGCACAGGAGGATGGATTGTTTTGGCAGCTCAAGGCTCTCCTGGGGGAGAGGTGGGAAGGTGCCTCCCAAACGGGGACTGATCTCCTGACCTGTGGCAAACAAGGGCCCAGGTCTGTGCTCGTCTCAGGGACAGATCCCAGGGACATCTGTCACATGCTGCCGTGGCAGCAGATAGTGCTGGGCTGAGTGTTGGTGCCTTTGTGCTGCTCTGGGTTCCCCTTTGCATTGGTGATGTCTCCTGGCCCCTTTGGTACAGAGGTAACAGAGGGTGAGAGATTTGTTTTAGATCTCTGTGTTTTAATTTTGAGGTGATTGTATACGTGAGGAAATCACCGAGGACAGAAGACATTACACAAGAAGAGTCACCCTGGCTCAGCCTTTCACTACTGAACTCACTTGGGGTGATCCACAGCAAATACCTGGGGAAGTGTTGAAGAGGTTGTGTAACACCACCACTACCCCAGGATATTCTCCACTTTCAGTGATCTCTGTAATAGGGGATTCCTGAACTACCAGCCTATATTTTCTAAACTTTCTATCCCAACCTATGAAATGGGGATGTGTTTTTCTGTTTGCTCCTGCTCCATTCCCCAGAGGTAGCTCAGTGCCTCACCAGCAGCCAGGAAGGAAACAGAATCTCCTTTTAGATCTGGATTCCTGTACTGCTACTGTTTTTTTGTGTTGTCAAGGAGTTACTTCCATTTTGTCTTGACAGGGACCATCATGTATTTTGGTTTTGATCTTCCTTTGGGGAACTGGGTGCTCTTCACTTGGATTTACCAAATCTGGTCTAACCCTTCTCCTCCAGCTGACAGGTCTGACACCCAGCCCAGGGCTGTGGACTTTTACAGAGGCTCCTGCTGTAAAGCCCTGACCTTTGGCTGTTGCAAAATGCGTTACCAGCTTTGCAGAGGCTGGGGAGGGACAAAGTTCCTGACATCAGGACTGTCATTAGTCTTCTGTAGAGGTGGAAGGGGAAGAGAAGCAGGGATGTTGTTGCTATTAATGGTCATTTTCTTATCTCATTGCTGTTTTTCTTGTCTCATGCTGTTTCATTGTTCTTAACACATGATTTGCATCTTTTGTGCCTCCAATTCTCAACCCCATCCTCAGAGCACGAAGGTGGAGGAGAAGGGGGGCAGTGAGAGGCATCTGGTTTGGGGGTTTTGGTGGAAACACTGAATTGGGGAACAGAATTTCTCAACCACAACAACCTTCTATCTCATCACACAGACCTGCACCTTTCATCTCAAATGCTGCATTGCAACAAACAGAGCAACAATTTGGGGAGAATGCTTAATCCACGGACCTCAGGCCAAATCTTAATGTGAGGACATGGATTCTCCATGAGGGTTTTGGGAATATTTGCTGGGTGCCTATCAGTGATGGGGAGAGATGGGGACGACTGAGTTGGTGATCAGAATTCGATTTTACTGTGGGTTACATCTGCTTAAATACCATTCTAGGAAAGCTAGTAATTTTTCACTACAATGATTGGGTTAAACATCATACAAACATACATTTCTGCAACATTTCTTCTACTTGATTCAGTCTTCTTTCCTATCCCAGGCTTGATTCAATCCTCTTGCAATCTTCAAAGTTCTGTTTATTCCTGCCAAGGCATCCTGGCTATCAGATCTCTTATGCTAATCAAGTCCAAGGTACTTTCTGACTTTACCATAGGTGCCAAGATATATCTTTCATTTAGAGCTGAAAACCATTCAACTAGTCAGCACTGAATTAATTCATGTTCTAAACAGTCCAGATGGGCTGGGAATCCTTAAATATGGGAATTACAAGTGCAGAAGGCATAGCCAGAGTGGTTTGTGCAAGGGAAGGCCTCCAGAACCCTGAACATGTGCAGTAGGCGTATCTCTAATTATATGATTAAACCCTGTTTATACCTGATCCTGCCCCCACAGGGAGTGTCCAATTAAGTGGCAGGATGTGCCTGAGCTGCCAGAGTGGAACCCCAAAGGGCTGGGCTCTGTTTTTGTTTTGTGAGGTTCCTTCTGTGACAGTCGGAGCACTTGAAGCAGTGTCTGCACACAGATTAACGTTTCATGAGCAAGTTTAATATCAGCATTCTCTCCCTTGATCACTTGACTTTGTAACCTCACCATGCTATTAGCCTGGCTTTTTGGAGGTAATCCTTAAATAAAAGCCTGGTTTAATGACCTTAAATACATTCTCTGCTTTTAAATCTTAGATTATTTGTTCATCCACTTGTTTTAATCCTGCTCCTGCAAGCTTGGACTTCACTATCTGCCCTATTTTTTTGTTCTCTGCAAGCCCACATTGCAGGGGCTGCTCCCATTCTTGCTCACTTTAAATATTGCTTCAGCCCAGACTCTTTCAGTGCTGCTCTCCTGCCTTTCCCTGCTGCTCTGTGGTACCAAACCTTTACTATTTGCTATTTGTAAAAGCTGAAACAGCTTCTCTAGCAAGAACAGTTGTTTTTAATTTAGAATTCAAAGCCCTCCTGAGCAACTCACTGATGGGGCCGTGGCCTCTCTGTATGGGGGAGCTGTGTCTGTGCTGGATAGTGCCCCTGTCTCAAATGATGCCAGACTTTGGTACCTGAACCTGTTCAAAGTTCAGTTTGTTACCTGGGAGTAAACTGTCCCTAGCCTACAGATTTTGTCTTCTCCACACTAACTTTTGGTTTAGAATATCTTGTCTGATAGAGGAATTGGTCTCTCTTTTAGGGCAACTAATTGGCTTTTTTGGGGAGGTGTTCACCTGGAGAAGGGAAGGCTCCAGGGAGACCTTAGAGTTCCTTCTGGTGCCCAAAGGGGAGGGATTGGTGGGATACTGGAGAGAAATTTCTCTCTGTGAAGGTGGGCAGGCCCTGGCACAGGGTGCCCAGAGCAGCTGTGGCTGCCCCTGGATCCCTGGAAGTGTCCTAAGCCAGGCTGGACAGGGCTTGGAGCAGCCTGGGACAGTGGGAGGTGTCCCTGCCCATGGCAGGGGTAGAAACAAGATGAGCTTTAAGGTCTTTTCCGACCCAAACCATTTTGTGATTCTTTTTGTGTGGGTAACCAGAATCATTCATTAATCCAGATCTCTCTTGCTGTGCAGCTTCTCCTCCCTGCTGGTCAGGAAGCAGCACCAGGTACCAACTCATTCCTATTCCCAGAGTTTGGACATTCCCATCTGTATCTCTGTCACATGGTCCTTCTGACCATGGGACCTGTCAGAGGTGGTGCAGTGAATGAGTGTGACAAACAGCTCCCATCCTGGATGGGTTTGGGCTGGGGCAGTTACAGCTCTCCATAGCACCTTGTGCTGTTTGGGATCTCTGCTGAAAACAGCACTGATCCCACAGGATGATTTAGCTCCTGCTGAGTCAGGAGCTGTTCTGCCCCTCACCCTGACCCACCAGTGTTGGTGCAACAGGAGCTGGGGGGACACATCCAGGACAGCTGTCCCCCACTCACCACAGGGATATCTCAGACCATGCTATGGTCAACCCTGAAACAGAGGGTGGGGGAATGGTGGGGTCTGGCCAGGCTTAGGGCAGCTGGTGATGAGCAATTTCTTGTATCATTTGTTTTTCTTGGTTTCTATTTTCTTCTCTATGTTGTTTTTTTTTTTCCTTACATTTAAAAATTATTTTTCATTATCAGTCTTCATGTCATCCCACCTGTTTTCTCACTTTCACCTTCCACTTCTCTTGCCATCACAGTTTGGAGGGGGGTGGGAATGAGGGGCTGTGTTGATGCTTAGCTGCCAGCTGTGGTTAAACCATGACATATCCACAGTCCAGACTCCACTGGCAGGGCTGTATCCATCTGTGGTAGTCAGCAGAGGCTGGGGGAAGTGTCACAGATCTGAGTTGGTCAAAGAGCACACAGGGTGGCTGTACTGAGAATCCCATGGATTGCTGACCAGTAAAGCAGGTAGGAACAAAAACTCCTCAGTGCACTCTCAGATTGGAGACCCTCTGGGAATTCGTGGTGACACCAAAGGATAAGAGCAGGGCACCAGGACAGAGCTGAGCATTCATGTCTCCATCAGCCCTGTGGAGCTGGAGAACTGCAGGCAGTCCAGTGACCTGCAGAGGGATGCATGGACAAGGCAGAGGTGCTTTGCAAGTGCACTGCACAACAACCAGGACACCCAGTTCTGCACTGGACTGGCCTTGGGGTGCAGCTGCACATGGCAACAACCTCTTCTCACTTAACTCTGTGTCAAGACCAATTTCACATCAGTTTAGCTGGATCAGCAGCACAAACTGTCTGTGAAGGGGGTGCCAAGGAGTGAGCCAGAGGGTCCCAGTAAACTGCAATTTATGTTGAGCTGTCCTGAGTATGTGCAGCACTGAGCACTGTGACATCACCTCTCCCAAAATCAGGGGCTGTGCCTTGGGTACCATCCAGCTACACACAAGACATTTCCTTTTGGTGCCAGCATACTGAGTTTCCAATAGAAATCCCCATATCCTAGCAGGGCCTTGAGGAAAGGGATGGAACCAGATCCCCCTGAGCAGTGCTGGCATCAAGAGGGCCTGTGGAGCACTGGCACCAGAGCCAGTCTGAGACACCTGGGATTGAGCTGACAAGGGCAGAGCCCCCAGATTGCTGCTGATGCACAGCTACAGCCCTCACACTTCAGTATTCCTTATCAAGGGAGATCTCTCCTTCTGGAGCCCAAAGCTGCTCCTTTCTCCAAGCATCCTTCCTCTTGGGCAGTTGGGTTCTATTTGCTGAGTCCTGGCCTTTTTTGGTGCCAGCCCTTGGACCTGCCATGGTCTGGCACAGAGAACCAAGTCCTCCAAAAGAAGAGGAAAGCACGAGGCAACAAGTTCTTGAAGCCACGCCCTCATGTTCTACTGCCAGATATTCCAAATTAAACAGCGATTCTGCAATGTGGTCTGGATGTTTGCCATGGAAAGAGCCTGCTGTTCACAGCATTCCAGGCAGTGTGCAGAGCCAGCTGCTTGAGGAGGGGAAGGATACCTGTGCTGACAAGGCTTTGCTCATTTTCCCTTGCTCTCAGGGCATCTCTTCCAGCTGGGTTGGAACAATGGCACAGGGGACTCCTGGCAGCGAGCAGACGGGAGCACTCTGCCTCTGCACGCACAGCGATTACAGCAACTGTCTGTCTGCTCTCAGGGAATTCAGAGCCTCCTGGAAGATAAGGAACATGAAAGGGAGAGCAGAAGCCCAGTTGAGCATACACACACTCCCTGCTGCTTCCCCAGCGAGGAGAAGCAGGGACAAACACATCCACGGGGGAATCCTCCCAGCGCAGCCTCTCACCCCAGGGACACTCGGATCCCATCAAAGCACAAATTACACCTGATTGCTCTACTTGTGAAGGACAGACCTCGCTGGCAGCTCTAGCCTGTCCTGCCACACACAGCTGGGGCTGCAGGAAACACACAGCTCTGCCTCTCTGCTTTGTCCTCCTGTGCAGCTGCACGGCTGCTGTGGCAGCACACGCCCCACTGCCAGGTCCAGCTGCATTTCTGGGCTCCAAACCTGCCTGGGGCTGCCCCGTCCAGCTCAGCCCACACAGCTGAGAACCTTGCCAAGGAGGCCAAGGAGAGAAGGGCGACTGCCTTTCTCCAGGCAGAAGCTATGTCTAACTAGCTCATGTCTCAGGCCCCCAGAAAATGGCCCTGGGATGCTCAAGGGACAGATCCTCCCCCCCAGGTGCTCCCACCCCTGCAGCTCTCCCAGTGTTCGATGTGCAGCACTTCAAAAGCCAAACTCCAGCAACCACTGGGACTGTGCCATGCTTGATTCAGTTTTAGAAAAGATGCAAGAAACACTTTTTCCAGAGCTGCTTCACCCTCTCAGAGGATGAAGTGTAATCTCAGCAACCCCAGAACCTGCTCACTCATCCTTGGGGATTTTGTGAAGGGAGCCTAGCACTCAATTTTCACTTTGTGCAGGACTGGGTCATTTTCAGGTGCTGGGGCACTCACTCCAAAGCACACTGCTGAGAAATCTGTCTTCTCTCCCCCATCCAGCCCCACAGCTCTCACCTGGATTGCTGGGCTGCCATCTCCCCCTTCTCTCCCCTCACTGTCACCGAGGGGCCCAGCTGTGCTCATACCAAAGCTGCACCAAGGGACCTGGCTGCCTCACAACTCAGCACTCCAGTATTTATGCTGAAATGCATAAAAGTGTTGGTTGAAAGAGAACAAAGCTGGCTTTGATAAAAACCCTCATATTCTCTCTGCATTTTTATGGCTGGTTCCACTCATCTGCTGTGGTTTCCTTTTGTGTCCCCAAGCAGCTTCAAAATATTTGGTAGGTTTTTGGCAAAATACTTGGAGGTTTAGTGTTTCTTTGATTATGGAGTTTGGCCTGTATTCACCTGACTCTGTGGGAGGCAGGGACGCTTTCCCTGCACCAGTTTTCCAAGGACCCCGGAGCTATTTCATCTCAATTCTTTCCTTTCCTCCTACTTATGTTCCTGCCAGAGAGTATAATGTCAGATATGTAAAATGACCTTCAGGAAAATTCATAAAACATTTCAGAAATCCCTCTTCCCCCAAACACCTCCGTGCAGAACTGCCTATGCTGATAGGGCAGTCCCTGCTAACACAGAGGTTTAGGGAATGCAGCAAGGTGAGCTGTGCAGGACAGGGGATGCCACAACCCCCTCCCTCACCAAGCTGGCCCTGCTTTCATCAACCACAGCTCTTTTCTGAGCTCTCCTGAGCCATTTCCCTCCACACCTGCAGGCAGCAGGTCCCACAGACACTGTGCATGTGTCACAGTGATCTCACTTTCATCCCTGCTGGGCTCCTCCATAAGGATTTAGCCCTAGGATACAGCAGGGAAGCAAACAGCAAAGTTCTCCAAGCTACTGCTTCAAAGTCCACACTGTCATCACTGCTCTTCTTGAGATTCCTTCAGTAAGAGGTGAGGAATCAATGAGAGACCTCAGGTCTTGGCAGGCTCAGGCACCAAGGCCTTTGGCTGACTTGCAGAGCTTGGGAAAGAGGGAGTCTTGAATCCCAGCCCCTGCTCCATGCACCACTTACCTGATTCAGTGAAATGTAATTAATTTAGGGAAGGAAGAGTGTGATTGTGACCTCTGTGCAATGCATGACTTGTGGCTGTTCCCCAGGGCAGCTCAGCTGATCTCTCTGCAGCTGCCAAAAGGAGGGAAGGTCTTCATCCTGCCCCTGCCCCTGGAGCATCTCACATCTCACACGCTGCACCCAAACTCCCATGTGCAACCCAGCAGCCAAGAAAAGAAGCTTTAGCTTAAGTTATCAAATTGAATCAAATTCAGCAGCTGCAGGAGTGGGAGGTTTGTGTGGGAATGGGAGCAGAGAGGTGAAGCTACAAGAGGTGCCAATGTCAGCCAAGCCCAGCCCACGGCTCTGGGCTGTGAACCCATCCCAACAGCAGAGCCAGAGTGGAGCAAGGTGTGCTTTTAACCATCCTAAGCACATTCATGACATATAAACACTTGACTCATGCAAACCAGGCATGCCTTAAATCCACACTGGGAAGAAATTAGACAAAATTTTTATTACTTTCCCCCCTGAACCTTGCTGGAGGGATTGGCTGGAGCAAGGGATACATGATGTTACTGTTTCCTCTCCAGACACTGCTACATCTTAACACAGGATGGTCTCAGGAGTCAAATCTATGCAGACATTAAATAGAATAATCCATTTCCAAGTTAATTTAAAGTGACCTACACGTGGAAATAAGGGTTTCTGCACTGTCTTGGTGTTGACAGAGAAAGATGAGCTTTTCCTATGTAAGTGCTTCCCATGACTGAGGGGTGTCTATCCTTATTTTCTAGAGTTACTGCAGGCAACCAGAAAGCAGTTTTTCAACATGCTGGATAAAAAGCAATTAAAATATTTGTGAGTCTATGTGGGTTTTTATTAGCTCCCATTGACACAGGAATGGTTCAGCTTCAGCAGATCCTAGACCTGGTGATGTGTCCAGTGGAGCAGCAGCTGCTCTTCCCCCAGGCCTTGGCTGCTGACTGGGACACTCCTCCCACAAAGCTCCATAAACAGCACAGTGGAGCTGCCTGAAATGGAATTCCACACAGTGATGCTGCCTCCTCCCCACTTCCTGCCCACCCTCCCTGAAATTCTCAGTCACTTTAGGGAACATGAATTAGCACAGCTGTCCCATCACCTGCACTGCAGGGGTGTCTCTCATGGCCTCTCCAAGCTGCAGGAACACAAGACCCTACCTGAGGCTGAATGACCCTCAAGATCTCATGGTACAAAAGCTTCTTCTCAAGAATTCCCATCAGACTGTTCATTCCTTCTCAGTATTTCAAGTCTTTGTGATCTTATTTAATATTTAAGAGTCAGCAGAAAGCACGCCTGGAATCCATGGAGGATTCACCTCCCACCGAAGAGGAGCAGGAGCTCACAGGACTCCAAGTGCTGTGCTGAGGTGGATTTCAGTTGTTGCCATTGCAATGTGAAGGCCTTTGACCTGAGCTCTCCCATCTCTCCAGGGCTGCTCTTCTGACTGGGAGAGCTGCCACCCCACCCAGCTCCATCCCAGTGCCACCCACTACTCAGGAATACACGTGTACCATTTTTGGAGGTCATTTATTCAGCATTAACCAAGCTGATTTCCAGTCTGTTCTGCACAGTGGTGCCTTCAAAATGAAGCTTGTGCAGCGCAGCATATTGAAGTAACACGGACTGTAAGTGGGGTATTACAAGTCAGAACACATTCCCTAAGAGACAGCAATGCAAATCAAAGTGTGAAATTAGTGATGTGATCCCACCATTTTGCCATGCCTGTGCAGAACCCAAGTGAAGCTCTCTTGTCCTTTGAGGCACATCTCCTTGATGAACCTGTGCAGCCCTTGGGCTTAGGGAAGGGCAGGAGGGAAGAAGCAGTTTCCATGACAAATGTCCATCTGACACATTTAGCAAGGACACAGCACAGGATTTACCTCCTGCTTCAGCGAGACCCTCAGCCCCCAGACCACAGTTCTGCCCCTCTCCCTCCCCTGATAAATCCTGGCTGCCCACAGCAGAGGTTCCTGACAGAGAAGCCCCAGAACAGGCCACACATTAAGGCAGAGTCTCCAAACCTCAGAAGTGCAGGTGCTCAAGCACTGCAGGAAGAAGGGACTTGTTTCTGCCCCTCCTGCTGTCAGGATGCCTCTTCTGGGAGCCTCCTCTGAGGCTGTGCCTGCCTTACAGAGCCCTGCCAGCAAAATTGTTTCATTAGAGGGGCAAGGGAAAGGTTCTTCCCACAGCCTTGGGAGGACAGACCTACACCCCACCTTGAGTTTGATGGCACAAACAAGAACATCACCCCAGCACAGTGACAGCTACGTCTGCACAGCTGGGTTAGCACCCAAGCGCGTATGAGCAGAGGACAGTGAGGTGTCCCACAGTGAGGCACAGCACCAGGGATCCCAGAGCACCCCTGGAGAGCTGTTCTGCCACACATACAGGGGTTAGCAATAGAGAATGAACTGGGCCATGATTACCAGCAGTGATAAATGCAGTGAGAACCACAGCTGCTGCAGCCTCCTTCCATTTTTAATTAGCTTTGTGCCCAGCTTTCAAAAGGCAGAAACCAAAACTGGTCACAATATCCCAGATTACTCTTACCACCAGCATTTAGATGTCCTTCCTGGCATCACCGTTTAACACACACACACATGTTCTGACATGCTTCAGCACTGCCTGTCCAATGATTCAGATCCTTTTCAGGCTGGACTCTCTTCGCTTTTGCTGCCTGAAAGCTCTATGATCTGGCACATTTTCTTTGCTGTCTGCTCTATCAGTCTATGCTGTCTGCACATTCAACATTGTGTTTTCTTCCCAAGTACTCAGTGAATAGAACTGCACACGAGAGTTGGGATGCCTTACACTCACTTCAGGTGACACAACTGTCACAGAGCACAGCTGTCAGGTGGGATGAGGTTTTGGAGAATATAAATGTTAGAGCTTGGGGCAGTGAGCATTCCTTCTGAAAATCAACAGAAGATTCAGCCTCAAACCTTGGAACTGCTCTGGCTGCAGGTCAGACAGTTTCAGCTGCCACTACGACTCAGTGCAGCAGTCCTGTCCCCATTACCCTGTCCCAGTGCCCCCATTTACATGATGTCACAGGGCCACCAGCACGAGAGACACCTCAGCCCCCTGAAGCAACAGCAGCCACCAGGGAAACGAGCAGCCAGGCTGGAGCAGATCAGGTTACGTGGCAAAAATGTCAGGGTGAGCTGTTCCTGCAGGATACAGGGACCCTCCCAGCAGCACCGCTCTTCCCGCGCGGGTGCAGGTGAGGAGTTAGCCGTGCCAGGGCTGCAATTCCTGAGGCGGGTCAGCCTGTGGATGTGGGAGCCAGTGACCAGCGGGGCTGTGAGGCAGTCCCAGCGGGGAGCAGCGGCCGTGGGCAGCCGGGCTCCGGGGTGAGCAGAGCCCCCGCGGGGCTCCCGGCGGCCGGGCCGGGGTCAGGGTCGGGGCCGGGATCCTGGGGACAGACCGGGGTCGGCTCAGACCCCGAGCCGCCGTGTCCCCCCAGCCCCGC